CCGGGATTTTCCTACTTTCAAGGGGCTGGTTGTATTTCTCAGGGTTGAATTTTTCTTTGTGCATTAGAATTTTGTAGTCGAAAGATTTAGATTATGCATTTATCACTCGAAAGTCTTTCAAGGTCAGGCAGCATTGTCCTGAGAAAAAGGGAAAAAACCCACATTCCTGACGCGAGTCAATTTACACCCGCCCACATTCAGGTCAGTTGGGCATAATTGTTCTGTTCATAAAAAGCAAGTTGTTTTGTACTCAAACACAGTTATATGACTTAAGTGTCATCCTGTTGGTCACCGTGGTAAATAGAAGATCAGGTAAGACATTGTCTAGTCGCGGCACTTGTGTACAATTCATCATTCCGATCATTCATGTATTCACTTACAATACTGTTAAATATTTCACGGGTTCGATTACATAAACTGGCTCGCTCCGATCTTTATGATCGATTTACAGCTTGTAAGATAATCTTGTCAGTTGAAATCAACGACTCACTTTGAAGTTCGAACGGGAAAAAAGAAGCCATGCATGGAATATCATCGACTTTTGAAGCAACAGCTGATTCATTCGACATTAATTTGGAGAAACCAGGGACGTGGAAGTCTGCTTTGAGAAGACAAGGAATTTTGTCGACCTCAGTCGCAGGCAAAGCTATTTCGGCTCGGACCATTTTACTTCAGGCTTTGAAGTTATTGAAGCTGCCGCCTCAGTCACCCCGGAAAGAAAGTCTTCGAGTGAAATCGTTTGAGAATCGGTGCAAAATCATTACAGGATTAATGGCGGCCAGGTTTGCATAAAATCGAAGAGAATCCCTGGAACTGGTAACTGAAGCCGCAGGCTCGAGCAGACAGACCACAAGCTCAGAGCCTGTTACGAAATAAAACCTAATCAGGGTCAAACTCCAACAAGACACACAACAGACGAAATATGACGGCATAAGGGGTTTCCAGAAGTGTCAGACGAGGTCAAACTTAACTAAGATTTACATAATTTGTATCCTAACAATGTTGTTGTTTGACGTGGAAAGTCAGCATCGTTTGGCCGTTAAGTATACCGTATAAGCTAAAGATTCGATCATCTTGTATACTTGAATGAGTTCATATTTTGTTGTTTATATGGTTCCGACAGGAAAAAACAAACAAACAATCAAACATCATCATACGCTAAACAGTTAACCTCGTTTAACATTCGCTTGACGGCTTCGATCCGAGCGTGACATTGTTCCGGGAAATCCCGATTTGTAATCAATTTAGCAGTATTCTGGACACTAATTGATCATCATTTCCCGTGTTGACGATAATCAGGACAGCGAAACTGAGATAGCGATAAGTGGGCGATTAGAATAATGTAGACTGGAAAGCCTTGGAATTAATCAACACATGGAGAACTGAGAATGTTAACTTTCTACCATGTTAATGACAAACAGCTTTCGCGGATTGTACGCTTGTACAAACGTGTACAAGCTTAACGCAGCGCAAAGAGGCATAACGGCGTAACGCAATGTGGCATAACGCGAAGAGGCATGACGCGAGGCTTTTTTTTTTTTTCGTATGCCTGATTGCGTCATTCCCCTTTTGCGTTATGCCTCCTTGCGTTATGTATACTTGCGTTATGGCTCTTTGCGCAATGCCTCTTAGTGTTATGCCTCTTTGCGTTATGCCCTCTTGTGTTATGCCTCCTTGCGTTATGCCTACTTACGTTATGGCTCTTTGCGCGATGCCTTGCTGCGTTATGCCTCTTTGTGTTATGCCTACTTGTGTTACGCCTCTTCGCCCTTTCCCCATTCTACAGGAAAATCAATTTCTCTTGTGCGAGCCCAGCAACTTCTTTGTGATGCAGAATTTATTTCTTCGGGGAAACTTGGAACTCCTTTCGGGAAAACTATTTGGCGTTTCACACTTGTGAAGTGTTGCTTCCGCTCGGTGAAACTGTTAAAAATCACCAATGTAGGAAATTGTGCGGTGTATTGTTATCATTTGCTGCTTTTGTTGTTATTAAGGTGATTTGTTTTGATTTTAAGCAATGTGATTTGAGAAAGTGTTAAGTGACAGACAACGTGTGGGAATCTGATAGCCTTGAATTTTGGAACTTTTCAATTGAAAGCCCAAACCAAATGATCGACAGTGATAGGAGAGACAATAGCACACGAGCATAAATAAAAAAGGACTTTGCAATCTTTTGCTTGGGAGAGATCTGTTTGGTGAACACTAAAGAAGTGAATCGGAATTTTCGTGTGAGTGTGTTGGTTGTACAATCTTTGCAGACAACACCCAACACCGACATTTGACTGTAATCAAGTCATGTTTTCTTTGAGTGTTGCTGGTACTCAGTTAGAGGTGAAAAAAAGTTTCCAGGCCAAGCCCACAAAACATGATCTCAGTACCTCTTAGAGGTTCTTTTCATAATTTCCGACGATTACCCCGTCCTTTTCATATGGAAGCCCTCCTCTTAGGGTTAGAAACTATTACTGAGATATAGGTTTGACAAACAGAAACAAGATGGGCGCAAAAAAGCAGATTCGAAATCCTACAATTTTCAATATTTTTTCGCACAGATTTATTTCAGTAATGGCGGAAAGTGAAGCCACATCACTTTCTGATGCTAACCTGGATTTTGATGATGACACTTTAAAAGGTAAATATTGATATAACATATTAATTATATCATAAAAGTTTTACAGTATACATTGTGTGACATTATTTAGCTCTTATTAACCGAGCAGGAGGTCTGTACGGGAGAACTTGACCGAGGTCGTGCGTACAGACCGAGGTCAAGATTCTCCCATACAGACCGACTTAGCTCGGTTAGTAAGATGTTTATTATATGGCAAAGAAGAAAACTTTAATTTGTTTAATGTAACTGGTTTGCTGACATTTTGCT